CCCAGTAGATCCCAGTTGCCCTCAGCATGCTCGTAGTCATACCCAGTGACTTCCACTTGCCCCAGGATGCTTCCAGTTCCCATCAGTACCATCCCAGTCACTCCCAGTCTATGCCAGTTGCCTCCAGCATGCACTCTGTCACTCCCAGTTACTCCCACTTGCTTCCACAATGGCCCCACTGGTTCCCAGTTCCCCCCTGCGTAGTTCCAGTCACTCCCAGTATGATCCCAGTCACTAACAGTCACTCCTAGGTCCTGGTCACTCCCACTAGGATCCCAGTCACTCCCAGTCACTCCCAATAGAATCCCAGTTACCGCTAAGGTGGTCCCAGTTGCTCCCAGGATGGTTCCTTTCCCTCTCAGGGACTCCCAGTCTGAGTCCAGTATGGCCCCAGGCACTTTCAGTCACTGCCTGGACGAGGCCATTTGCCCCTGCATGGTCCCAATTGCTCCCATTCTGAGTCCAGTCACTCCCAGTACGATCCCAGGAACTTGCAGACACTTCCAGTATGAATCCAGTTTGATCCCAGTCATACTCACGGGAGTATTGGGATCACATATCCCAGGATGATCCCTGTCAGTCCCAGTGTGATCCCAGTATGAGCCCAGGAGGGGCACAGCTGCTCCCAGGATGATCCCAGTTGCCCCCAGTGAGGTTCCAGTTGCTCCCATTCACCTCTATTATGGTTCCACTCACTCCCAGACACTCCCAGTATATCCCAGTTGCCCCCAGCATGCTCCCAGTTGCTCCCAGTATGATCCCAGTTGCCCCAGTTCTGGTCCCGCTGGGTCCAGTCCAGGTCTCGGTGTATCCCGGTGTCCCCCCTGTCCCCCCACCCCGCTCTCACCCCCTTTTCTCTCCCCACAGAGCTCCTGAGCCGCCGGCGGCCGCAGCCCCTCCCCGTGGCCTCGGGCCCAGCCGGGACCCCCCAAACCCTGCCCTGATTTTGGGGGGCTTTGGGAGGGCACCTGCCCTTCAACACGGCACCCAGCACACCCCAAAAGGTGCTGGGACACCCCTAAAACGCCCACAGCTCCCCAAGGATCCCCCAAACCAACTCAAAGCACACCCAAGACCACACTTAACCCCATTGCTGGGGGGACTTTTATGGGCTCTGGTGTTACTGGGAGCCCCCCCGGCTTCGGGAGAGGAGCTCTGGGGTGAGTGGGGGGTGGGAAGAGGGGGGTGGGTGGGAAAAGGGGTGTGGAAAGGAGAGAAAAGGGCTGGTGGGACCCCCATACTGGATGGGACAGGAGTGGGACCCTCCAAAAGTGAACGGGAAGGGGGACTGAGGATTGGGGGATGATGGGAAAGGGGTGGGAGAGGTCACAAGAGTGGGGAAAAGGGGAGGGTGGGACCCCAAAACTGAGCATGACGGGGCTAGGAATTGAGGGATGATGTGTAAGGGGTCAGAGAGGGGGGAAAAAGTGGGGGTTGTGACCCCAAAACTGATCTTGGGGTGGCTGGGGATTGAGGGGACCATGGAAAAGTGGGAGGAGAGGGGTGGAAAAGGGGGGTGGTCTGGAGGGCTGGACGGTCCCATGGGGGTCTTTGGGCACTGGGGGGTTGGGAAAGGGGGGTGGTCCCCCTGAGCTCCCAACTTACTCTGGGTGCTGGGGGCTGCTGGATCCAATCTCAGCCTTGCATTGTGCCAACAGTTGACATTTAGAGCAATTCCAGAGGGGTGACTGAACCACGTTTGTCCCCCAGGCTTTAATGATGGCATTTAAGGATGTACCTCCACCACCCCTTTAAGGGGAGGTTCAACACAGGGGGGGTCACATAAAACAGAGGCTCAGAGCACATTTACCCCACTCTTCAAACTTCTCTTTGCCTCTTAGTGCCCCAGGGAAGCCAAAACCATCTCAGTCCAGTCTGGGCTCTCGGGTGTTCCCCACACCAACTCTTCCCCAAACACATTCACAAGCTCAGGGGATTCCATCACCCTTTTCGGGCACTGCCACTCACCAGGGACAGGGAAACTCCCTCAGCACAATCTCCCACCACTTATTCCCCTGCCCACAAACTGGCAGCACCTTTCCAAAGGAATCCCTGCAGCAGCTCACACAATAACACTCTTGATCAATACAAACCCTGACCAGCTCAGAAAAGCTCGGAGTCCTCGCTCAGAGGCTCTGGCTACAAAAACACACTTCAAACACAGCAATAACACCACAGAGCAACCAAAGCACAAACTCTAAACCACACCAGCAATCTACTAAAACACTGGGAAGCAAAAGCAAACTCTAGTTCTGTAAAAGCAAGGAATCAGCACACACAACTTTAAATTTCTCACCCCATGAGTCACCTGAAAGGGGAAGGGAAGGCAGGATCAGCCCCTCAGCCCATCCAGCACTTTCAATGCAAATCTTCCTTCCATTTCTCCTTAGCCTTGACTTCTTTTTATACTGCTTTTCAGGGTTAGGTGGAGTTTTGAGTTACTTTAGTCACAAAGCTAAATTTGGGGTAGCGTGACAGGCATCTATTCTTTCTTGACAGATAAATAACAGAGGTCAAAAAGGTTCCCTATTCCCACCCTGCAGGATGGTTGTGAAGAAAGGCTGTGGGACCTTCACTGGCCCCATCCCTCACTACATCCTTTCACACCAGGTGTCTCTCAGGGTTTTTCTTTTGGGGAGACCATCATGACCTTCATGTTATCCGGGAACTGGAGTCTTCTCTTTCTCATCACATGTGCCAGTCCTTATTCTTCTGCAGTGTTTGAACTCTATTCCAGCACCAGGTCCCTGCTAAACAGGGGTCACCAGGAATGTTGGTCACCAGGGCTGTGCCCAACGTGGGTCCCTGTGGATCATCCAACGCGGGTCCTCCGATGGCTGATGGAGTTGGAGCAGCGGCCGAAGCTCTTCCCGCAGTCGGGGCACTCGGGGCTTCCCTTACCGGTGGGTGCGTTGGTGTTTGGTCAAGGCAGCCCTCTGGATGAAGCTCTTCCCACACTCCCCACACTTGTGGGGCCTCTCCCCAGTGTGGATGCGCTGGTGCTTACGGAAGGCGGAGCTGTCACTGAAGCTCTTCCCACATTCCCCACACTTGTAGGGCCGTTCCCCAGTGTGGATGCGACGGTGGGTGCGGAAGGTGGAGCTGTGCCTGAAGCTTTTCCCACACTCCCCACACCTGTACGGCCGTTCCCCAGTGTGGATGAGCTGGTGGGTGAGGAGGTCAGTGCTCTGGCTGAAGCTCTTGTCGCATTCCAAGCACTTGAAGGGCTTCTGCCCTGTGTGGATGCGCCGGTGGGTGCAGAGGTTGGACCTGCTCCTGAAGGTCTTCCCACATTCCCTACACGTGTAGGGCCGTTCCCCAGTGTGGATGTGCAGGTGGGTAAGGAGAGTGGAGCTGTCCCTGAAGCTCTTCCCACATTCCAAGCACTTGTAGACCCTGTCCCTGGTGTGGATGTGCTGGTGGTTGTGGAGGATGGAGCTCTGGGTGAAGCTCTTCCCACATTCCCTACATGTGTAGGGCCGTTCCCCAGTGTGGATCACCTCGTGTCGGACTAGGTTGGACCTCTGGTTGAAGCTCTTCCCACATTCCCTACACGTGTAGGGTCGTTCCCCACTATGGATCATCTGGTGTTGGAGCAGGTGGGAGCTCTCCCTGAAGCTCTTCCCACACTCCCCACACGTGTAGGGCCTTTCCCCAGTGTGGATATGCTGGTGCCTGAGGAGGTTGGTGCTGTTCCTGAAGCTCTTCCCACATTCCAAGCACTTGTAGGGCTTTTCCCTGCTGGAAGGCTGCTCAGGGACCACCAGCTCGCAGCTCCGGCTCAAGCTCCGGCCGCCTTCCCGGCACACGCTGCCTCTTTCCTCCTCACAGCCCCCTGGGCTGGCTTTGGAGCCCCTCCTCCGGGGGCATCTCCGGCCCTTTTCCTCCCCGCTGCCTTCCTGCGCCGTGGAGCCCTTCAAAACGGCCTCTCCCACCAGGCTCTGCCGCGGGGATTTGTCCTCCGGGCTCTCCGGCCTCAGCTCGGGGCCTGGGGCAGGAAGCAACAAGGACACGCAGGGGATTTGCCTCCGGCCCACAGGGAAGCCCAAGGACATCCCCCCAACTCCGGCCCCGGCAGGACGGCAAAGCAAGACCCACCCAAAGGGGCACTGACTTCCTCCTCACCTGCCTGGGGGGCCCGCGGCATCTTCCTCTTCCTCGCAGCCTCCTCCTCCATCCGACCAAGCTTTGGGAAGCAGAAATCCTGATGGGGGGGAAAACAAGGGGTGAGCGCGTTGCCTTGGGGGTTCCTCCTGCCCAAGTCCAGCTCTAGGACTCACCGGGCATCCTGTGTCCCTGAAAACCTTCAAAACACCAAGATTTAGACCAGTGTATTAGGGAGGGGGAGTTAAAGGTTCGAAGGAGATACTGAAGCTTGAAACCATGACACCATTGAAAGCTTCACAACAACCAAGATTTATTACTGAGAAAGTGGCCAACAAAACGAACAAACCCAAAAGGGAGGAAGGGGGAGAGGAATAAGCTTCAGTTACCCAGCTGTTGCCCATAACGTTATCTTACCGACCTGGCGTGCCTATAATTACCCATAGGAAAAGCGGCATCCTTGGAGAGGCAGTAAGTTCACAAGACTGGCAGGTGTCTCCGTCGAAAGGCAACATTGCCCTTGATGTGAAGTTAGCCCCCCC